AACCACCATGCTGAAGCTGATGTTTATTTTCCTTATTCATGTTTCTAATGTGAATAACACATCTGTTTTTATTCATGAAAAATATATGGTATTGCTTTTTAAAAATTTTACATAAATGGTACATATTACATGTATCCTGATTTTTTCATCAAACATTGTGCTTTCAGGTTTTATCCATGTGTCATGCAATTTTTAAAAATATTTTTTAGAGATAAGTCTCGCTATGCTGCCCAGACTGAATTTGAATTCCTGAGCTCAAGGGATTCTCCCGCCTTAGCTCCTCAACTAATGGATTACAGGTACACACCACTGTGCCTGGTGAGTCATGAAGTTTTAATTAACATATTTAGCTTGTGGCACAGCATTCAACTGCATGAATACACTCTAGTTTATTTACTCAGTCTTTTATCAATAGACATTTATTCAGTTTCCAATATTTCCATGTCTGATTATATAAACATATGTATAATTAATAGTGTCTCTATCAGATGTATACCTACAAGGGTAATTTCTGAGTAGTCAACTAAAGCATCAACTTTACTAGAAGTTACTTAATGTTCTTTAAAGTAGTTGTAGCAATTTATACTACTATCATTCATATCATCAAGTACAAAAGGTTCCCTTTCCCTACTTGCTTGAAAACACTTGGTACCAACAGACTTATTTTTAAAACTTTGGCAATCTGATGACTATAAAATTGTTTTGTGTCTTATTTTGATCTCACTGATTACAAGTGAGATACAGGAAATTTTCACAAGTTTACTGGTTATTTAAATTTCTTTTGTGAGTTGTCTATTTTTGTGTGTACATAATATTCTTCTACTGGGTTACCTTTCCTTATGATTTGACTAAGTTGTTTATTATTTTATATGCTAATCCTTTGGTTATGTATATGTAAATGTCTTCCTCCAATCAATGGCTTATCTTTTCTTATTTCTTTACAGTTATTTCCCTTTACTTAAATTTATTAATCCATTCTACATTATTCTTGGTCCTTTAGTATTCCATATGCAATTAAGAATCAACCTGTCATGTCAAGTTCAGTGAAAACTCCATTAGGATTATGATGGAAAAACAGATTGACTTTATTAATTAACATGGAAGAAACTGACATCCACTTGATTAGGTATTCTTTTAAACTGTTATAAATCCACTTGAGTTTTCAATTTGTTCTTGCTTTAATATTGGTAATTTATATTTTAAACAAAATTGTTAATTCATCAGTGCTTAGAAGGATATTGCCAAAAGCATTATCTTCTGATTATTTAAACATGTCCTATGTCTGTGGTTATATCCTCATTTTAATTTTTGATTTTTTAAACTTGTATCTGCTGTTTTCCATCATCCTCCTTGCCATAGGTTTATAGTTTTAATTAAAAAAAAATATCTAGATTTTTTTTAGTTGATTCTGTCATTGTTTTTTGTTTTCTATTTCATTAAATATTTGCCCTACTCTTTGTAATTTTCTTTCTTTATTTCTGTTGTATTGTATATATTTATCTCAAGAGCTATTTTTGCTGCATTGCACAAGTTTTAACACACAATGATCTAGTTATCTTTCAATTAAAATTATCTTTCAATTTCAAGTATTGTATAGTTTGTTTTATGGTTCCAAACACATATATTTGTGCCTTTTTCTTTTAATATTTTCATCACTGATTATATTATAGACAGAGAATATAGTCTGCATGACAACAAGCCTTTGATACTTTTGCGACTCTGTGGCTTAATATCGACTCAATTTTTGGAAATGTCCACAAGTACTTAAAAAATTATGTATTCTTTAAATGTATATGTCTGTTAGATTAATCTTGTAAATTTTGTTTCAATTTTCTCAACATATTTTCAAAATAACATTTAAGAACAGTAAAGCATCCAAGAAGTGGCATCTTAAACCCCAATAGTCAAATCAAATAGCTTTTCAAAATGTCAACTGATACTATGAAAGCAAATCACATGTGTATGCACACATGCATACACACACATGCATATACACCTCGTTCCCCACAAAAGCTCTCAATCTTGCTCCCTAAAATAGAGATTCAACAGTTGGCATAAAATTCTCAAGTACTGGGAAAGAGACTTATATCATGTGGTTATAGAATTAGGTAAAGTTTAAAACAACTTCACACAAAAAAATATAACTGAGTGGTCCTGCAACTGAACCCTTACAGAGCATTAGTTCTGTGCCCGTGGCCACATGCTGTAGCCCAGACTGTCTATCATGGATCCTTAGTGTGTTGGGATCTAAATGAACAAAACTTAGTTTTGACACAGTCACACTTTTTGTGACTGCATATAATTCAAACATCTATATTTGTAAATGAAACTCAGTAATTGTTTTAATCATTTCAACTATCTTTATGAAATCTTCCCTGGATCTAGCCTTCTTATCTCTAATCTAAATATGATACGTTACTTCTGTAAATATTTTCTATTTTGTTTCTAAAATGTTCCTTCTACTACTCATCAATTTGTAGGCTTGTGTTTTATTTTTCTTGGATATAGTGACAATACTTTTCCTAATTTATCTGTACATATTGTTGGGTGACTAATGATTTTTTATTGGTCTCAATGCTACACTTAATTTTGATCAACATATGTTCATCCAGTGTATGCTTCCTATAACAGTTATATTAGCCACTCAAACATTTAATCAGTTTCTTTTATTTGTGCATTTTAAAAGTACCTGTTCACCAAATAGGTTATCACATTCTAAAATCTCAGTTAATCAATTCATCCTGAGTATTCTATCAACATGCATCAAAAAGTGAAAACCTCTATTACTATCTGGTCTTGTTTTTACCATACTTAATACCCATTTATGTCTACAGATCAGTCTCAATATAATATTGCTTAGGTACATGTCACACTTGCTAATTTATTCATCCTAAGCCCACTAACAAATTTGGGTCTTATGATTTGTTTCCATACAAGCTCAGAACTCGATAAGGTCTGAATCTGATCATGTCTGATGCATGACTTCATTGTCTTAAACTGTTCTGAGCAACCAAAGGACAAGCAAAAACTGACAGTACTTTGAAGACAAATGCAGTATTTGGCACATAGCAAAATTGAGAGACCTGGAAATACACACTTTAAGAATTATGATTTAAACATTTCAGTGTGATTCTGAAGAAAGAAAATTCCAAGACAAAATATTTTTACTACAAAGAATTTCGTTATTACAAGTTGATAAACCCTTCATGAGAAAATGTTAACAAATCTAGGCTCTAAGAATCCTGAATCATTAATGAGTAGGTAATAGGGCAATTCTTTGACTTATATTTAATGGTGAAAACCAGCATCTCTAAACTGTGAATTTCTGCTGCAGTATTCACAGTGAAAAATCATTCAATATGGTACATTCTTCATTATTATAAAGCTCATTAAAGCTACCAAACCATGTAATTAAAGCTGTATGTTAATGTTTCAGAATTGTAATCTTATTCCCCCAATCTAACTATCTAGATCATATACATAGCCTCCAAAAATACATGTCTTCAAAAATTATTTATTTCTAAGAGGACTGTTTTCCCACTGATATGATGGGATATAATACAGAAATTTTAATTTTGCAACTCATTTTAAGACAAATATCTACTATATCTATTATTTATATATCCAGAACAAAATAAGTGAATTGTCTTAAGCTGAGATTACTAAGGTTACTGGCTTACTAAGACAAACTGCTTGGACAAAGATAAAAAGTTTTTGTTTTCCTTAAAGAAGAAATAATATATATTGATGAAAATCAAGTTCAGAGGCAACCTCCTGGGGTTCCCTCCCACTCTGAGAGTTTTTCTGTCCTCTCAATAAATCCTACGTTAAAAAAAAAAAAAAACCAGTTCAGAATATGATCTACAGAGATACAAAACTGATAAATTGGAGAAAATAAGCAGATCCTGTAGCCTACATTATGTGCTGGCTTCCCTGCATCTTCCCTTGCCTCCCTATAGTCCATTCTCACCACTGCAGCCAGACTGACATTGTGAAAATCTAAGTCAGGTCAGATCACTCCTTCACTCAAAACTCTTTACAGGTTCCCTACCTCATGTTATCACCTTCCAAAACACTACACATGTTATTTGTATATTTATTTATTATACATCTCTTCAACTAAAATGTAAGTTATACAAGGGCAGATGTTCTTGCATCTTTTCTTTAATACTACCTCCACAGCTCCTAGATCTCACCACATAGCAGGTTGCTAATCAAATAGCCAATGAATTAATGGGAAAAAAAAAATGAAAGCAGCCACACTGATCAGCTAACATTTAGGATCCCTTTAGTTGTTTCTAATGAAAAGTTCTGAATTTACTAGTCTGTATCTCATAATTAGTTTTTAAAAACCCTTAATTTATAAATGTGATTTCCAGCCTAAGATCATTCCTGAACACACCTTACATGCAATATTACTTGATTATCTAAATATGAATTTTCTTTTTTAGTGGTCTCTCAATCAGGCATTAATTTACTAATAGATTCAGTTGGCTCCATGCAGCATATCACTAAGACTTATAAAAATCCAAGGATATCTTCTTAGCTTGGAAGAGAAAAGCTTGTGAGACAGCCAAACTATATGTAATAAGAAAGCAAGGAGTCTTATCAACTTCATTTTTCTTAAGCCAGAGTACATCTGTACCAACAGCAGTCCCAATTTAGACTCTGGATGGTGGATAACTCATAGGAAAAGAACACTACAGAGAAAAGCAAATGTAAATAAATGATTAAAAGTTTATGGTGTTAAAAAAATGGCATCATATGAAATTAGCTGAATGGTTCATATATTTTCAAAAATAGAATTTAAAAACTCAATTAAAAAGTTTTAAAGCTTTTTATTTAAATTTTCTGAATAAAAAAAGATTTTCATGTTATTTTTAAATTTTATGCTTTTTAAAAGGACTTGACTCATTTCACTGCTAGATATTTCAGAAATTCTGTTAGACTTCCTATGACATTTATAAGATTAAAAGATGTCTTGGATGTTTGCCTCTTACCGATTCAACTAGTGATCTTGCTTCCTCTTGAGTGCAATGGAAAGGGCTACCACATATCTGCACATTTGTGCTAGAGAGGAAAAGAGAACATTAATATCAAATGGGATGAAAATGGAACAATGAACATAAACAAAACAAACAAAAGACTACAAATCCTCCGCATAGCTATATAATTTCAGCCAATGTATAGGAACTGAATGAATAAAAACTAGGACAACTAAAATTATTGTATATTCTTTTGGGAAGGTTACAAGTATACAGTACTCCACAGCATTGCACTCCCTAAAATTAACAAAGTTTTTTTTAAAGATATTATACAAACCCTAATAACTTTCTTATATATATATATAAAATATATATATGTATATATATATATTGCCATATCACAACTGCACTTCATTTTTATTGAAAGAGGAACCAAATTTGACCCACAGAATGGGACCATAAGAAGAAATTTTCCTCTGAGGTGACAAACATTGTAAATGGCTACTGATAGATGTTGTGGAATCTCTTTCTCAGACAGATACTGAAGATTAAAGAAGAAACTAGGGAAATATGAAAGTTGTATTTTCTTATATGTAAGAAAATTCAGCAAGGCATAAAAATAGCAGCTCCTTCCCTGATTAGTAAAGGCTCTATCAAGTCAAATGCCTTTCTTGTACCTCCATAACCATGTCATCCATTTACATATCACCCACTTCCCAAAAGGCATCATTCCTCTCAGAAATATTAAGACTGACTTTAAAAATTTCATCATACAGCTGGGAAGATTCAAGTGGATAAAGAATAAAACAAAATAGGGCCAGGCGTGGTGACTCACGCCTGTAACTCCAGCACTTTGGGAGGCCGAGGCAAGAGGAGTACCTGAGCCCAGGGGTTTGACAGCAGCCAGGCAACTTGGCGAGACCTCATCTCTACAATAAATACAAAAATTAGCTGAGTGTGGTGGTGTGCGCCTGTGGGCCCAGCTAACTTGGAAGGTTGAGGCAGAAGGAGTGTCTGAATTTAGCAGGTAGATGATTCAGTGGTCATGATTGTGTCACTGCACTCCAGTCTGGGCAAGAGTGAGACTCTGACTCAATCTCAGCACTTTGGGAGGCCTAGGCAAGTGGACTGCCTGAACCCACGGGTTCGAGACCAGCCCGGGGAACTTGGTTAGACCTCGTCTTTTACAATCAATCAATCCATCAATCAATCAATCAATCAATAAAAATTAGCCGGCCATGGTAGCACGTGCCTATAGTTCCGGCTACTTGGAAGGCTGAGGCGGAAGAATTGCTGGAGCCCAGCAGGTCGATGCTGGGGTGGCTGTGAGTATACACTGCACACCAGCCTGGACAACAAGTGAGACTACAACTCAGAAAAAAATAAAAATTAAAAAAAAAGGAGTTGAAGCCAAATTAATTTTTTTAAATAGAAGAAAAAAGTAATTAGCAGATCCCTAAAAGAGCTAAATAATAGGTAAAACACACATACATATATTCCCATGCAAGTGTATCTAAAGGGTATTCATGATCTGATTTATTCATAATTATAATACGGTGAAATATGTTGAGCTATCTGTGAAAAAAAACCTATCCACATCTGTCTGTAATTGACATTGAATACACAGAGATTATAGTAAGTGGTCATCTTGGTTTCTATCCAAAGTCATAATGTGGGATTTATTTTAATTCTTGGCATGAATAAAATTTGACGAAAGTTAGCATTATCATCTTAAGACTATAACTTTTTGTAATCTCTCTTCTGCAGCTCATGTTTAAGCAAGCTGAAAATTGAAAAAGGTAGATCCTTGTAAATCAGATATTTTCTTAATGAATGTAAAAAATAAATTTAAAGAGAACCAGGCAAAATATTAGACACTGCACAGTCGTAAGTACTAGTCCTATGAAGAAAACATGGTAAATAATTATGCTATATACAATGCTTTTAATATTATAACTAAACCAAAGTAAAACTGTTCTTGAGAATTCTGAAAAAATAAAGTTGCTATATAAAATACAGAATTGGAACTTCAAATAATTGGCAAACTGTTTTTTAGGATAAGTATGCCCAAATATTGAAAGGGACATACTTACATTGAAAAAAATGTGTTGTTTTAGAATTCAAGTTTAACTGTGTCCTGTATTTTTAATCTGTTAAATCTGATAACCCTATTTTTAAAGTAGTCCTTTATTCTTTACAACAAAATGAAACCATAAACAAGAATATTAGAAAAGAACAACAATACTGAAGTCAGCACTGTACATTTTTAAAAATTGAATAATTTTTATTCTGGAAAAATTATTAGCATCATTGTCTCACGAATGAAATGGAAAGCACTGTACAAATGAACTTAGAAGATTCTTGCATAATACTTAAAAGATTAAAGATTACAGCATCCTTTTGTTTCTATGTTTCCAATAAGCTCTTGCATTAGTATTTTATTAGCTAAAAACAGTGCCAACATCCTCACTGACATCTTTTTAGTAAATATATATATAAAATCTAGGTTGTAATAACACATTTGCATATATATACACACATATATATATTCTCCAGGTTTTAATGAAGTTACTTGTACTTTAATAATAACATGATAAAAGGCCTATTACCAATAAATATTTTTATTTTTTCTGAACAGGCTCTCATGTAAAAACAGTTGTTTGACACTGATTCATATTTATTTACTGATTCAAGAAATTCTACTATGTGTCAAGGACTTTTCTTGATGCTGGAGATACAATATTGAAACATGGAGCCCCAAAGGATCCCAAAATCTCTAAGATTATTTTTAGCACTCAAACTATGATTATTATCTGCAAAAGGAAAAGCAATATAATTGTTTAAAGGAAGAATGACAAAACCGTTAGTGCCTACTATAAATGAGATTAAAATAATTAAAACAAAGAATGTGCTGATTTCCTTTTTTATAAGATATTAAATATTTTGTTTTAAATTTATAAGTGTTATATAGCCTATATACAATCTTGCTGACCAACACAAGCAGACGTGACATTAGAGCAAAAGAATCAATAATCACAAAAATGCTGTGGACAATAAATCCAAATTGTATTTTAAAATAAAAAGGTAAATTAATACACAAATGACGGTGCAACATAACTAAAAAAAGAAACAGAAATGAAAACTATCTGCAAATAATAAACAGATAGATAAAAGATGAAATTTACAGGGCCAGTAATATAGAACTTAAGTAAAGGGAAAATCATTTTCTTCAAGTCAATCTCAAATCAAACAATGGCCCACACTCACGGAAATCCTCAAAGACAGTGTCCAAGACATAGATTTATCAAGGCTTTTCATTCTAATGCAAAATAGTCAAGAAAAAAGGACAGAAAATTTAAGGAGATAAGAATGACAATAATTTTAGACTGAAACCTCTAGAGTTTATAGGAGGACATGACATAGGGTAAATGTATACAAAGCTAAAACAGCAGGAGTTATCAGTTATGGAAAGTACCAAATTAAATACACTTTCCTTTAGGAAGACAAAAAGAAACAATTTCAAGACCTAAAAATCGGGAAGAACTGAGTATACTTCTTTATTCAGTAGCATGTCTAAACTATCTATTATGTTGTCTTGTTACTAAGTACTAAGGTACAAACCCAGTATAGAGCATTAAACAGATAAACAAACAAACTACCCAGAAGAAGGGAAACTCTGCAGAAGTGACATCTAAACTGCTTCTTGAAAAATGAAGATGTCCACAGAGGAAAAACAATGGGATAGAAAGGGATAGCTCATGAGACTGGAAAGGTGGGTTTGGACATATTGTTTTAACAGTAGAAGAGTTGGATCAAATCATTAATCACATTAGCACAAAGGAGGGACTGGCAGTAGCTGGGCACTATCAGGGGAGGGAGGGAGGAAGAGAGGAGGGTCAGGTAACAGCACAAAGGGTACCTGCTCCCAAACCAGGGGAAGTGAGGCCAGTTGGAGGCCCAAACTTCACCTGCATGCAGCCTACATGTGTAGCTAATCCTTACGTGTACCCCACATCTCTGTAATAAAATAAAATTTTTTTAAAAAGTAGAAGAGTTGGATCAAATCTTATAATCAAAGGGAGTCATAAAATGTTTTATTTTTTTTAAACTTTTTAATTTTTTTTTTTTTAGTTGGAATCTCACTCTGTCGCCCAGACTGGAGTGCAGTGGCCACTCTTGGCCACCACAGCCTCGACCTGCTGGGCTCCGGCGATCCTTCCGCCTCAGCCTTCCAAGTAGCTGGAACTACAGGCACGCGCTACCATGCCCGGCTAATTTTTAAAAATTTATTGTAGAGATGAGGTCTTGCCAAGTTGCCCAGGCGGGTCTCGAACCAATGGGCTCAGGCAATCCACTCACCTCGGCCTCCCAAAGCACAGGATTATAGGCTGAGCCACCGAGCCCGGTATCACGTATTTTTTGTTTTTTGAGTTGGAGTCTCACTCTGTCGCCCAGACTGGAGTGCAGTGGCCGCACCCGGCCACCGCAGCCTCGACCTGCTGGGCTCCGGTGATCTTTTCACCTCAGCCTTCCAAGTAGCCGGAATTACAGGCATGCGCTACCATGCCTGGCTGATTTTTTGATTTATTGTAGAGATGAGGTCTCACTGCCCAGGCGGGTCTCGAACCTGCGGGTTTAGGCAATCCACTCACCTCAGCCTCCCAAAGGTGTGGGATTACAGGCTGAGCCACCGAGCCTGGCAGATAAGATGTTTTTAAGCATACAAATGACAGTCTTCTCTAAGATATTTCTGGCAGTACTGTATAGAATATATTAAATAGAGAAAAGTTGTTAAAAAATTATGAACACAGAAATGAAAAGTAACTGAATTATAAGGTAGTTTTAACTAGAAGGGCATTCAAGAATCAATCACAACTTGAAAAATTTGTCAGCTAGATGGATCAAGATAAATAATGATTAGAAATTAACTGATTAGCTGGACAGTACATTGCTGGTTTCTTAAAATTAAGGTGAATGTGGTTGAAGATAGGGTGACAGGGGCTTGAAGAGTAAATCCAAATGTCAAAAAATTTAATTTTTTCCCAGAATACTATTTAAAGTTTTCTTAAGTAAGAATACAAATAA